TATATATATACATATGTATCATGTTATAGGAACCATGCTATATAAGTACCATGCATGGATATTTATCCACATCACGCATTGGGTAACTTACATCCTTAGTGTTACTATGGGTACCGTGAATAGATATTTATCCACAGCTCCCATTTGCTGAGCTATATTATATCCCCATTTTTTCATAAAGTATTCGTCTCGCACTCGCTGGCGCATATCATCCTCGTTGTTACTATAATAATATAATATAATAATATGTACAATGAATGGATATAATAATCTTTGTCTCACATTTGCTTACTTACATTATCCTCATTATTGCTATAAGTATCCGGTACCATGAATGGATGATTACCTGTATTATCATCTTCGTTGTTTTTATAAAATATACACCAAAGACACTCTAGGCTACAGACCAGGGGGCTCTCGTGGCCAAGAGGTTAAGGAGTTGGCCTCTCATTCAAAGATCCCGGTTCGAATCCGGGTAGCGACTAAAAATTTGTTTTCTCTAAATATGTCTCTTTTCACTTCCTTCCATTCTCTCTAGCAATGTTCTGTCGTCTGCTTTCGTCTCCTCTTTCTGCCCCCCACTTCCTCACCTCCTTTGCCCCCTCCTCTGGGCTCCTGACTCTTTCTGCAGCTTTTCTACTGCTACTCCTTGGCTTCTTCTTACTGCTGTTCTTCAGCCACACCCCTGATCTTCTGGTAGGAAAGATCTACACCTAGCTTTCTCGGAGAAAGGCGAAAAATTTCGGATGGCCAGTGTACAAATTATGCACGTTAAAGATCCCTTGGTGGTCAAAAATCGATAAGAGTAGGCTTCGGCCGCCTCCCAGGCAAAATTCAAAATTTCCTACCAACTGAAAATATTATGTGTGTCCCGCGCGCTCATATGACCTTATGCAGTTGCGAGCGCCGTAAAACACTGACAAAAGAAAAAGGAAACAGACCTCCACCTTCAGTGAGTGATGATCGTCTCCGGGCAGAGCTCCCTTCTAGACCACAGACTACAGTACACAGTACTCCCTCTGAAGAAAGCTTTCGGAAAGTAAACTTCTCCAGCGTTGTCTTGTCTAATCCAAGTCGAAGATTCCAGATGGGTGGTGGGTGGGTGGTTGGCGGGTGCTCTGGTGTGGTTTACTCCTTCTTTCCTATCAAACATCTACCGTCCTGATCTCTCCTCTTTTTTTGTGTTAGTTACTTTCTTGTACCACCTCTAATCTTCGGCACTTATATGACCTTATTGTGTTGCAAGTGCCGTAAAACACTTACTAAAACTAAAGAAGATTTCAGTGATATATATCCAAAACTCGATGGGAGCTTGGAGGACTAGCGACGAACAGTAGCCTTCGCACTAGAGACTGGGGTGAACGAGGAGAAGAAGAAGAAGACGTCCCAAGACCTCCAAACATTGGCAAATCAGAAGTTATATTTTAATACATTCTCGTTCCGTATGTTAGATCACACTTCAAGCACACGTTAGATCTAGAAATCCGTCCAATCTTAATTAAAGATGAATAGTCTTAGAAAGCTTTCTCTCCGAAAATGGCGTTGGTAGCCCCAAAAGTCCTATCAAATCTGACCTGCCAGTGACGAGATGTCTCTTCACCGTAGTGATTGTAAAGTAGAAATAGGATAGAATCTTCTAACACCTCGGTCATTAATGCACTACAAGTGAAAGGGAACAGCAAGGTTGCAGCTTTTGTAGACACACTGGTCACATCTTGTGGAGGTAGATCGGGGAGCCGGCAGCCCTAGAGCAGGGCGAAGAATCGCTTCCAGAACCGATTCCCACGATTAATGCTACGGAAGAAAAGTCCCGACTCCTTTTTACGTAAACCAACGGTTACCAGTTACCAGTTACTTTCATCAGTAAAATCTTCTTTAAAAAAAAATAGAATTTACTTTTGAAAAACAAAAGTTGATGCTTCATAGTGTTCCGAAATCAAGGGTTATCCTAAATCCTGAAGAGGTTCGGAGCCAACTAGGTAACCATCCGAAGAAATCACATCATTAGAAAGTAAGTAATTGGGTTTGGAGTCGATTCCTTCGATTCCTAGCTTTCAGTAGTCGGGAACCCAGCCGCCCAGCACTACACCGACAGCCCGCGCGCAGTGGTGTGGAGCTCGTTTGTATCTAGAGATTGCATTGGTTGGTTGACTTAGTGACAACTAATTTCCCCGTACCATCTGGCGCCACTTTGACGACTAGTGTGTGGTCCGGGGGTGCGTTCCGAAGAGAAGCGAATGCTGCGAGCAGGATGTTTTGGGGAATTTTGTAGTTGTCAAACTGAACCAGCGGGCGATTTTGTTGACCCTTACTAATTTGTTTATGCCTTCCATCTTTTTAAAAAGATGTTATTCTGGATCTATGATTTATCTTCTTATCTCTGATTTTAAAAATAATGATAATAGCAACAACATGTGGGGGCTTCCTCTTGCGCCGTTTTCCGCAACCACAAGGCATCGATAAATCAAGGATACATAC